TAATATATCTTTATTGATGTCAGAGAGAGGAAAGGAGAGGGAGAGAGAGAAACATCAATGATGAGAGAGTCATTGATCGGCTGCCTCCTGCACAGCCCCGACTGGGGATCGAGCCCGCAACCCGGGCATGTGCCCTGACCGGGAATCGAACCCTGATCGCCTGGATCCTAGGTCGATGTTCAGTCACTGAGCCACTCCCGGCCAGGCCAGACTCCTTTTTTTAAATTGAGGTCAGTTGTTCTGGAGAACGTCCCACCTCTAGATTTGTCTGATTGTTTCCTCCTTTCCCTGTGTCTCCAGTACACTGGAAGTTAGTTCTAGGAGATTGATTAGATAATAAGATTTCTTTTCTTCTTATTTTTTTTCTTTCTTTACGTAAATAGCATATGCAGCCCAAAGAAGTCTATTCTTTTATTTTATTAAATCTAGATAACATTGTAAGTGATGAAATGCTAGTTTAAAATGTTTTTTGTTTTTTATAATTCTGAAAGGTGTTTTTTAAGAGTTAAAAACTCATGCTGGGAGCACAAAAAGAAGAGTCATGCAATCATGAGTAGTTCTTAATCTAATTTGTTTTTTTGTTTTAAAGACTTAGTAATCCTCTTTTTTTAAAAAAATATATCTTTATTGATTTCAGAGAGAGGAAGGGAGAAAGAGAGAGAGAGAGAGAGAAATATCAATGATGAGAGAGTCATTGATCGGCTGCCTCCTGCACACCCCAGACTGGGATCGAGCCCGCAACCCGAGCATATGCCCTGACCGGGAATCAAACCTTGATCTATTGGATCCTAGGTCGATGCTCAACTGCTGAGCCATGCCCAGCTGGACCTTAATCTAGTTTTTCAGTATGCTTTCACCTGGATAAAAGTGTGACTAATTTAGTGCCTGCCTTTTCACAGATTAATTGTAAAGATTGAGGTTCTGTTACTGTCAAGGAATTTTTTTTAGGACATTAAATTCTAAACTTTTAATTGCAATCATATTTTCTGAAAAATGTATTACAAATGTGTTTTTGTAACTATGGTATATAGAAAATATTCTATCAGTTTTGGAAAATATGGACAACTTTTTACCTTTAAGAACCCAAGAGAAATTACATGTTAACAATTTTTTACCTTTGTATCCCTCAGAGGAATATTGGGCATCTCTGCAGGAATCCGCTTTCATGGAACTGGTCCAGATGTTTAAAAGAGCCATCATCGCTCAACTGCATAACTGGACTGAAGGTGCTATGAGTAACTGTCTAGCTCTGCTAGAAATGTTGAAAAGGCTGCATAGGGTAAGGGTTTCAACTGGCCCGAATCTTAAGCAGACTCTTGAAACATGAAGTTTATATTGCTGTTTCTTAAATTTTATTTTTGTGAATTAATTCATGCATATAAAGGAGTGTATATAGTATCTATGAACAGTTTGAAGAAAACTAATAAAACAGACCTCAATGTAACTACCGCCCATGCTGGAAAAGGAAGCATTTCCAGTACTTTTGAAATGCCTGTGTATTTTTCTGTCAGATTGCATCCCCGCACCTCCTGGAGATAGCCATGATCCTGGATTTTAGGTTAACTGTCCCCTCACTCTTTTTATTGTTTTATGAATATATATATTGAATACATATATATTATCTACTGTATATATAGGGTGTCCCAAAAAATGTGTACACANTTTTATGAATATATATATTGAATACATATATATTATCTACTGTATATATATAGGGTGTCCCAAAAAATGTGTACACACTTTGAGGAATTATAAAGGCAGTGTTTATTAAAAAGCATATACATTTTTTGGGACACCCTGTATATATTATGCTATTTAATTTTGCTGTTTTTGAATTTATGTAAGTGGAATACATGCTCCTTACACATGTTTTACACATTTGTCCACGTTAATACTTACAGCTGTATTCATTTTTACTTCTATATCACAGTCCATTGTATGACTCTTCCATGATTATCCAACGCAGTACTGATGGATATATGTGCTGTTTGCAGTTCTTTTTTTGGAGGGAGGGGTTCTCTATGAGAAAACATGCTGCTATAAACATTTCTGTACATATGTCTTGGTGTTCATGTATCAAGAGTTGGTTTTTTAGTTTCTATACCTAATTCTGAAATTGATAGGTTGTAGGATATGTGTGTGTTCTTCTCTATTGGTAGTTACAAACTGCCTTCCAAAGTGCTTAGACTAATTTAAATCCCTTTCAAGAGATAATGAGGCCCTGGCCAGTGTGGCTCAGTAGATTGGGGCGTTGTCCTATACACCAGAAGGTGGCTGGTTCGATTCCCAGTTGGGGCACATGCAGGAGACAACCAATCGATATTTCTCACATCAATGTTTCTCTCTTTCTCTCTCTGTCTTCCTCCCTCTCTGTAAAATCAATTTTAAAAAGAGAGAGAGAATGAGAATTCCTGTTGTTCCAGGAATTTGGAAAATATTTCAGCCTGAAATGATACCAAATTATGATTTTAATTGTATTCCCATGGTTCTAATGCGTTAGAGTACATTTTCATGTTTATAATTGCAATATTTGTTTTCTGTAAAGTATCAGTTCTTGACTTTTGCTCAAATTATTTGTTTTACTTTTCCTTATTGATTATAGAAGTTCTCCATTTTGTAAGCTAGTCCTTTGTCAGTAATATGTATTGCAGATATATCCTAGTTCGTAGCTTGTCTTTTTACTTCATGGTGCTTTTTTATGAACTCACATCCTTAATTTTAATNGCTAGTCCTTTGTCAGTAATATGTATTGCAGATATATCCTAGTTCGTAGCTTGTCTTTTTACTTCATGGTGCTTTTTTATGAACTCACATTCTTAATTTTAATATAGATAAATTTGTCGATTCATTTCTTTATAATATTTATCCTTGTCTCTCTCTTTGAACTTTTTCTCTTGCAAGGTTTTAAATTATTACCTAACTCAGGGATCAACAGGGTTTCTTTTTGGAAAGGACCAGATAGTAAATATTTTGGGCTTTGTGGGGCATGTGGTCTCTGTGGCAGCTGCAGCTGTTGCAGTCTGCAGTCTGCAGTGGGAGCATGAAAGCTGCGCTTAGAATGAAAATGAAGGGGCCTGGCTGTGTTCCAACAGGATGTTAGAAAAATAAACAGGGGGCCTCATTTGGCCCTGAAAGCTGCCCCAGATAGTTTTCTAATGGCCAGACCAGAGGAAGAGTACAAAGGCACATATAACACATATCTAATATTTAAAAGGTTAGAAATCTAGCTAACTGCTGAATAAATATACTCTAAAACAAAATATACCCAATTTAGGCTTGGATTAGAAATCTTGGTCTCCTTGTAGAGTTCTGCAGTAAAGGTGGAGGCTGAGACAGGCGTCCCCAAGTCCTCTGCCGCCTTTTCCTATTTTTGTTTTGACCCATGTGCCCATAGGTGGACACCTTAGCTCTTATATCTGTGTTCTGTCCCCACCTTCCACAACAGCTGCTCCTTAGTAGTCCTGGAGTCTAGGTGTATCCTCACCTGTGACACAGTCCGCTCTTTAGGGACCAAGAAGGGGAAGAGACCTGTGCAGGTCCTGGAATCTGGCTTGGAGACATTTGAGCAGAGACTTACAGTTCCTGGGTAGCTGGAGCTCAGTCTCGAAGGGAAGGTGTGGGCTGCCAAAGACAGGTCCCCTTGGCCCTGCAGGCCCCTTACTGCCCCTGTGGGAGGGTAGTTGGCTGGAGTAAGGCTAGAGCAAGGACCTTTAAATCATGGGCCCAGAGCAGAGACCACTCTCGCCCAGGTCTAAAGGGAGTATTGATTTTAGCTTTGCCTTTAACAGTTTGGTGTTTAATCCAATTGGCAGTTTATTTTTTTAAACTTTTTATGTGTTTTTATTGATTTCAGAGAGGGAGAGAGAAACATCAATGATGAGAGTCTTCAATCGGCTGCCTCCTGCACACCTCCTACCGGGGATCGAGCCCACAACCTGGGCATGTGCCCTGACCGGGAATCGAACCCCGATATCCTGGATCCTAGGTCAACACTCAACCGCTGAGCCACGCCCGGCTGGGCTAAAACATGTTTCTATGTGTGGGATTCATTTCTGGGCTCTTTTTTGTACTGTTGGTCATTTTATGTAGCTCTGTTGTTTATATCTGGTAAGAAGAGCACCTCTACCTTGTTCTTAAAGTTTATCTTGGCTGTTTTTGACACTTGGCTCTTCTATACAAATTTTAGAATTGGCATCTTAGGTTCCACACACACATAGATTTCACTTCGAATTTGATTGGAGTTGCAGTGAGTCTGTATATTTCAATTTGGGGAGAATTAACTTTACTATGTGACTCTTCATGGTGTCTGTTTTCTTTCACTTATTAGTTTGTCATTAAAGTCTTTCAGTAAAATTTTGTTATTTTACTATGAAAGTCTTGGATATGTTTAGTCAAGTCTATTTCAAGATAGTTGATATACTTAGGATTTTACAAACGGTTATCTTAAAATTATATTATTTGTTGGTTTGTAGGAATGCATTAATTTTTGAATATTGAATTTATAGCCAGCAAATTTGCTAAATTCTTATATTATATCTAGTAATTTGCTTGTAGATTCTTTTGCATTTTCTGTGCAATCATGAGGCTATTGACAGTGCAAGGCTGAGATCAGCAGGGTCCAGAGGACCATAGTTACAGGGGTGAAACAGCTTCACCATGCTATGGGTGGTGGTACTGGGAGGCTGGATCATTTGGGGTGTGGGCCAGAGTCTGTAAGAATATTCCAGAAGAATGGTCTTAGCTTGCATAGCCAAAGAGGGCTTTTAGAGGACCTTTTCAGAACTAGTTATTGAGGCCAGAACTATGCCCATTCAGGTCAAATACTGATGGTCACTGAGGTCCAAAGCACCTAGTGTAATTATCTGTGCCTTCACTGACTGATGATTAGCACTGTGCCATGGTGTTCATATGTATTTCATAATAACCCTGGTCATCTCAGGATGGAAGGCTGAAAATTCTCCCACAATTTAGGAGGAAATGTTCTATATGTGCCTCGTTAGAGGGAACACCTATAAATGGTATATTGCTAAGCTCTGAAGTACATGACATGCAATATTGGGCCCCAGAGTACTTTGGATTTATATTGCACTGTATTTTTCTTTGGACTAAAAAGTACTTTAAAAACTTTTTTGTGAATTGAAAATAACTAGAAGTTTATCATCCTAATTATCAATTTCTACTACTAAATGTTAGGCATTCTTTATGTTCCTGAAAATGTGGGGTTTGGGCAGTAGAGAAATTGTGTAGAACTTTATTCTGGTCATTAAGGCTGTTTAATTTGCATTTATCCTGAGAATCTAATAGCCATTAAGCAAAATTGTCTTTACATATGATACTTTCTCATAGGTTGTATTTTATTTAAGGTAAACCAGACTAAATGTCAACTGCCTGAAAATATTTTCCAAGTAAACGAATTTACACACTGCCTTCATTTTTTTGGAGATGCATATGGACAGTCCTCTTGGGAAATGAACGTAGTAAGTATGGCATGTTTAAAAGGGGAATTTGATCATCAATGAGTTAATATAGGCATTTGTGCTATAACTTTCTACATGAATTTCCAAAATCCTTGCATTCTGCAAAATTGTCCAATAGAAATAGCAGGGCTTATGGGAAAAACAACACCGATCCCTCAAAACCTATGCAGTTTTGTAGCCAGAGCACTAACAGAAAAGTTGTTGCTACCTTGGCAGATAGCTTGGATTTACCAGACAAGCATCTTCTGGAGAGTGCCATGCAAACATGAAAAATGCACAAAAGCCGAAGGGTAGAACTCTATCCACACTCTAATTAGAGGACTGGTGGTACTGAGATAATGCAGATGGAAGTGAAACTCTGCTTAAGCTGGGCATAGGAGGCAGGGTGACTCACCAGGAGCCAGCAGAGTAGGGCTGCAACTTTGGGGGAGGTACCCTTTGGGTAAGAACTCCTTTTCTATTTTCTTAAAAGACAGTTAAAGGGCTTTCGCTGCCAGTTCAATAGCTGACTTGAGGGCTTTTTTCTTTTCTCTGAAGGTTATAATTCTACTTCTAGCTCACCAACCCTTGCCTGGCAGAAATATATGAGCTAACCAGCTATCTGTGTTATTTCATTCCTCTATTTACCAAATACATCTGAACTCATTTACATTTCAGAAGTGTGGGTTGCAGTAGAACATACTCGTTGGGAAAGTGCCCAGAGTTTACATTTAATTGGTAAATTCAATGAGCACTGAAAATACTAGGTCTAAATACCTTACATTGGTACATGTAAAACATTTTCTTAGAAGTTTATGTACCTAAGTACTACTGACTAGCAATTTGAATCATCTTGGCCATAAGTACTGAGACCTTAAACCATCAGGAGTTTAAGTCTATGAGGTAAGATGTGAGATATCTCTGTCCTTTCATTTATCAGAATTATTCTCATTTCCATTTTTAGGCCACTGCAGTAGACATCCAGTGTCCTGTCATATTTAGTCGTTTTCCATTTGCCTTTAATATTCTATCAAAAATTAAACTACTACATGCAGACTCTCTTTTAAAAATACAGGTATGTGTGTCCATTTCTTTGTCTTTATTAACAAATTAAGTGGTAAATGCCTTCTTAAGTGTACAGTATTTGGAGGGTGATAAGGGAGCCACCCACTGTGAAACTAATGGTCGTGGCATTCACTTATACTCTAATGAAGAAGGCAAGAAAGTGCCATAATTTGGGTTGGCTTGGCCTTGAGACATATTGAGGCTTTAGAAGTAAAGGATGGAGCTTGGACAGCTGGGCTAGTTGTAGAGCTTTGACCTTGAGGTTGGTGACTGTAGTCTTCTGAATGGCTCTCGAAGAGGCATAGCAGACTTGGATTTGACTGGAATTAGCACTATATCTAAGGAGGTCCAATCTAGTGAAGAAAACATAGCAGTGGGGATAGAGGTGACCGAGGATTCTTAAAATTCAGACCTAAATAAATGCCTGTGGTGGTGCCATAATAAAGGTTTGTAAGAAGTATCCCTTTTCAGTCAGCTGTCATCAGCTGAATTGGTTCTGTTTGTCAACATATCCAGCAAAGTGCTTTTGAAGTTAAAATTGGACAGTTCAAAATGCCTTGGGAAATGTACTTCATTACCTTTTTGTAAGGATTAAATTTGTTACTGTAGGTATAGCTTTTAGAACAGTGCCCCACACAAAGTGAGTGCCCAGGGTGTTAGGTCTTATCATTTTTTACTGTCATCTATGCATCTATATATGTATGAGTAATACTCAAATATGTCATACAAGTAGATACTTTCACAAATGCAGTTACCATAATGAAATAGGAAGTTGATTTATGAGTTCTAGTATGACCATTAATAAAATATTTAACAAAGAAAAATTAAAATTTAAAAGATAAAAGAATTTTATTTTGCTTCATCTCTTGTTTTCTCCTGAAAACAAGCTTTCAATAATAATTTTATAGAACTGATTTCTCTCTTTGTTTGCTAAGAGCCACAGACTTTAATGATCCCAAATTGCTCTTTGGTTTCAGGTAGACAATCTCTTTCTGTATCTGTATGTGTGTGTGTGTGTGTGTATGTGTGTCTCCCCCCCTCCCCTTAATTTCTTAGATTATCTATCACTTAAAATCTCGTCTGGGTCCTCTTCCTAGAATAGGATATCTTTAGAGAGGTCTCTCATACCTGAACTTTTCCTGCAGACTGCTTTTTTCTAAACTTCTGAACTTGTTTTTCAAATGAGAATATTATGCTTCAGTGTTTAAATCATTCTCTTAGCCTGTGATTATAATTAGCTTTGGTAACTGAAGTATTAATAATTGTATTTATTGAAGCAGTCCAGTGGAGCCTGCTGTTGGTCATTTTCCTGCTCATCCAGGCTGGCTCCCGTTTCTTAGGTTCCATGTTGCTTCTGCTCTCTGAGGGTGAATACTGAAGGCATAACTTACCTCCAGTAGTGTATATAAGGCTCTTTTTATAAATGTTTGTGATGTGTATTTATAATAAACTGAACCAGTTTATCCTACTTTATAAATTTCTACTTGGAGCACATGGTAAAATGAAGTGACACATTTCTGTTTTCCTAGTGGAGAAGACTCAGAGCTTTTTTGCAGTTCACTGGAATTATAGAAGACCGAGAGTCCAGTTTAGTGTTGATGTCCACCTTTAATCTAACGGTCAGAAGGAGCCACTTGATTGAGGATGTTTTGAAGCATTTAAATCAATTTGAGAATGAAGATCTGAGGGTGGAGTTATCGGTAAAGTATAATTCTCAATAATTTGGTGCTGAGAGAAGAAAAATATAAAATAGTGTAACAACTAGTCTTTACAGAGGGGACATTATCTCCCTTTGCCACTGAGGGGGTCTGCTTTAGAGTTCCTCTAATTCCCCAGTTACCTGTGAATTTCAGGTGATAGGTGCAGTCACTTCATCAGTACACTTGGGCTAAGGAGCAGTAGGAATGGTTGTCCTCCCCCAATCTGGTCAGGTAGAAAGTCCAGTTCTAACCCTAAGAGGTCCAGTCTCTCCTGAGGCCTGACCTAGCCTGACTAGTCCCCACCTTTGAAGGGTTCCAGTGAGATGGTGTTGACACAGGAGAATTGAGGGTTTGTTTCTGCTCTCATGCAGGACCCAGAGTCCTCTGTGGAAGAGGGAACTTTCTGTTTATTGACTGTGTCGTTTTTGAGGGTATAATTGTAGATATTACCATGTTCTGAACATTTATAAATGACCTTTGGTTTAGTAACCGTATAATTTGTCTTACTAGTGTGTATTTGACACAAAATAATAATAATAATAATGACTAGTAGATCTAGTGAATGTTTTCCTTGTGCCAGGAACTGTTGTAAATGATTTACACTTACTTGTGTAACCCTTTCAACAACACTATGTGGAAGGTTCTGTTATTCATTCATTTTGCAGATGGGGAAACTGAGGTACAGGACTATCAGGTAACTTATTCAAGGGTAACACAACTGATACGTATCAGAGCCAGGATTTGGGCCCAACCACAAGGTCCTAGATTTTCCGCTTAAAACAAAGATTTGTCTGGTAATATTTTTTAGAGGTTTGTTTTTGTTTTTGTTTTTAATATTTATTGATTTCGGAGCGAGGAAGGGAGAGGGAGGGAGAGAGAGAGATAGAAACATCAATGATGAAAGAGTTGTTGATCAGCTGCCTCCTGCACGCCCCCTACTGGGGATCAAGCCCGCAACACGGGCATGTGCCCTGACCAGGAATCGAATGGGGATCTCCTGGATCTTAGGTCGATGCTCAACCGCTGAGCCACGCCCAGCTGGGATAGTGTTTTTGATGGGAGTCTCTAGTTTACTCAGATTAAAGAAAGATTGACTTGATTAAAGCTCAAAATACTATTTTAAAAGTATGTTGCAATGGGTTTTGCAGTTAAGAGTTGGCATTTCCATATATTTTTACACACAATTTTTTAAAACATGTTTTTATTGATTTAGAGAGAGAGGAAGGGAGAGGGATAGATAGAAACATCAATGAGAGAGAAACATAAACATTGATTGGCTGCCTCCTGCACACCCCCTGCTGCGGATCAAGCCTGCAACCCTGGCATGTGCCCTGACCGGGAATCTAACTGGTGACCTCTTGGTTCATGGGTTGACACTCATCCACTGAGCCACACCGGCCAGGCACACACAAATAATTTTTTTTTTTTTTAAATATATCTTTATTGATTTCAGAGAGAGGAAAGGAGAAGGAGAGAGAGAGATAAAAACATCAATGATGAGAGAGTCATTGATCGGCTGCAGCCTGCAACCCGGGCATGTGCCCTGACCAGGAATCGAACCCTGATCGCCTGGATCCTAGGTCGATGCTCAACTGCTGAGCCATGCCTGGCCGGGCCACACAAATAATTTTTAAAAATCTAAGAAACTCACAGTGATTCCAACCTGTCAGCCAGCCAGTCTACTCAGCTATTTTAGTTCCGCTTTTATATTTCACTCATCCATTTTTAAATTCTAGGTAACATTCGATGAGCAGTTACCATTTTCCAGACTGTGTGGGACATTTTACATGTGTTATTTAATCTTTGTAATAATCTGTGGGAAAACAGAGGCTTTGTGAGATTAAGGAACTTGCAGATAGGGAGGGGCAGGTATAACACCTGGTCTTGTAAATATTTTAAATACTGATCTTTGAAACTTGCATTTCTGTAAAATGGTAAAGGCATTCATCCAAATAAATGAGTAAAAGGAGCTTTTGGGGAGTGTTGGTGGAACATCCAGATGGAAATGTTGAGTAGTCCTTTTGGAAATGAGTGTGTGTTAATCAGGAGAGAATATGGATAGATATGAAGGTTACATACCTGCAAGTAATAAATGAAGTTTTAAAGAGAAAAGTTAGGATATGGGGAAAGAGCAGAGAGAAAGAAATTTGTGGTATTAAAGCAGCAGGAAAAAGAAGAGAGAAATAAAACCTACACTGCTGCATAAGAGAAAGCAAGGGAGGAAAGAGCGGGAAGAAAGAGGAGGAGCTCAGAAATGTAAAGTGAGTTAGCAAAGTCAAGGTGATACATCAGAACAAGTCCCTGGGATTGGGGTTTCCCAGGTGATTGATCCTGTTGGAGAAAAGCATTTAAGTAGAGAAATGGGTTTGGAAGTTGGTGACAGTGTTCTCTGAAATTTGGCAACCTAGAGTAGGAGGAGCCAATATTATCTGTTTTGGAAACATGGTCTTGATGAGTGTGTTTTTTTCTTTAAGGATAAGGGAGAACTTAACACATTTGTAAACTGAAGTGAAGGATTCCAAGAAGGAAAGGCAGGAATGGAGCGAGTAATTGAAGGAGCAAAGATGGGCTATGATAGAATCATCTTGGGGAGGGATTGGTACCTCCTCCTTAAGGAGTAAACAGCCAAGCTAATAAAAACTTTGTGTGTGCTCTGGCTTTCCAGTTTTTTGAAAATCCTAGTATTTTTTATTTCTTTATGTTTATTTTTATTATACTTAGCATACCTTATAACTGTAACCATGTTGTCAATTGAGGTAAATTTATTGTTAAAGACTAGACTGAGGTTTCAAAGACATAGCATTAAACCTAGGCTGCACCATTTGTCTGTTTTATAACCTTGGTAAATTAATTTAAATTCTTGAAGCCTCATAGAATTAATAGGATTTTAAATAAGATAATATGAGTATGATGCTTACCATAATGCCTGCCAAATACTTGGGCGTACAATAATGTTAGCTCTTACTATTAGCAATACACAGCCCTGAAAGTGATCCATTATTTGCTCTGTTTCCTCAGGTTTCGTTTAGTGGAGAAATTGAACATGACTTTGGAGGAGTCAGGGCAGAGTTTTTCCACTGTCTGTTTGAAGAGATGACCCAGCCAGAATATGGGATGTTCATGTATCCTAAAGAGGCTACCTACATGTGGTTTCCTGTTAGAGTAAGTCTTCTTTTTTTGCTTATGGTATTTCCTGATAGAAACGGTATGTCACATAACCATAAAAAATTAGGTTGTCTAGTCTGTTTTACATTAGGAGAAGAATTAATGGTATAATTGTGGAGACAGATCAGCCCCATGAGGTTAAGGATGGACTAAGTAGTGAGTAAATATTGGACAAGCTGGAGGAAACAAGATGGCGGCGTAGGTAACAGCTATACCTGCCACTTTGCGCAGCCACATCAAAATTACAACTAAAATACAGAACCACCATCACTCAGAGCCTCCTGAGATCCGGCTGAAGAGAGCCCTACAACCAGGGAACTGAAGAAGCACCCAGACTGGTAGGAGGGGCAGAGACGCGGGCGGATCAGGGCTGAATCCCGGAGATGGGGCCGCGGGCCCACACCCGGTGCCGAGGATTAAACCCAGGAAGGAATCTCGGCGGTGGGGGTTTCCCGGAGGAGCGAGGGGTCCCAGCCCCACATCAGGCCCCCAGCCCAGGGTTCCAGGGCGGGGAAGAGACGTCCCCAGAACTCCGGGCTGTGAAACCAGCGGGGACTGTCCCTGAGGGTCGCAGAGGCTGCCGGAGCCCCAGCAGCTCCTCTAAAGGGCCTGGCACGGACTCACTCGGACGCTCCCTCTGAGCCCAGCGCCGGGCAGCAGCCTGAAAGGACCCGGGACACTCGGGG